ATTCATTAGCCGAAAAAAAAAAACTGTGACAAATATTGGGATGATGAAGGATGACATAATTTTAACTAAATGACTTATTGTAGTGCAATCTAAAATCATCGTAATTAGTTGCAAGGAAACCGTGTATATATATATATTCAAGTTACTCAATTATATATCATACTAAGCAAAGACAAGACAAGTGGTTCAACTCGAATTCATCAAACAAGCCAAGACTCAAAGAGTCGAGCTTTAAGACTATCCTAAGAGCTGAGTGACACATGCACAAAGAAACTCGAGCATTTTGTGACGACAATTAAGAGGCCAGCTCCATGTGGGTCATCCAAAACCCTAGGAGGCTGATCACAGGGTCATATCATCCACCCTATTTTCATATATTTAAAATTTGAAAGTATTTTATTAAATCTTAATAGTCTAATTTATTAATTTTTTTAATGTTATATATATATATATATATATATAGATTAAGTAAAAAAATTTAAATGTATTAATTAAATTTACCACAAGGTGAATTTATCGTGTTTGTATATAATGTTTTACACGTGTCAAAAATTGATTGGGTTAGTACATTACAAAGCCCCTTTCTCTATAATAAAATTAAGTTGCGGAAGACTCGGATCCTGTCTCCTTAGCCTAAAGGCTCATTTTTCACCAACCACCTTCCACTAACTCGCAAACCCATCAAGCGCTCTCAAAACACCTATGTCCGACAAACACACACACCCAGATCTCCGCCACCTCATGGCCAACGAACCCAACTTTCCGGCCACCGCACAAACCCTAGACTCCTTCTTCCACCACCACACTCACCTGACACGTGGCTTCTCTCCACCGCCACCACCCAAGTTCCAGCCTATCCCGCTCGTCCTAACCGATCCCGCTACTTTTCCCAACGGCCAGCTTCACTTTGGCTGTTCCGATAACTCCACAACAACTGCAGGCGGCGGTGGCGCCGCATCGTCCGCTCCATTTTCTCGGCGGAATAAGGCCGTGGATGGTGAATGGCGTCCCTATGGAAACGACGCCGTTGGGGTAAGTAATGGAGCTAACAGTAGATGGCCGAGACAGGAAACTCTCACTCTTCTTGAGATCAGATCTCGTCTTGATCCCAAGTTTAAAGAGAGTAATCAGAAAGGTCCTCTTTGGGATCAGGTTTCTAGGTATATTTATTATTATATTCATATTAAATTCTAATTAAAACTCAGATTTTTTAAAGTTTTTTTTTTTGGATAAAATTAATAATTGTTGTTAGATGGGTTGGATGATGAAAATCTCACGTAGATTAATTTAAGGAATGATCATGGGTTTATAACGAAGGAATACTGTCTCCATTGGTTTGAGACCTTTTGGGTAAGACCAAAGCAGAGCCACCAGAGCTTATGCTCAAAGTGGACAATATCATACCATTGTGAAGAGTCGTGTTCGTTTAACATAGTATCAGAGTTATGCTCTAAGCTTAGTCGTGCCAATAGATTGGTAAATCCTCAAATATCGAACAAAGGACTTCAAAAGAAAAAGGAGTCGAGCCTTTCGAGGGGAGGCGTTAGATGATGAAAGTCCCACATCGGCTAATTTAGGGAATGATCATGAGTTTATAGAAAAAGGAGTCGAGCCTCAAGGAGAGGTGTTGGATGATGAAAGTCCCACATCGACTAATTTAGGGAATGATCATGGGTTTATAGAAAAAGGAGTCGAGCCTTTCAAGTAGAAGTGTTGGATGATGAAAGTCCCACATCGGCAAATGTAGGGAATGTCATGGGTTTATAACAGAGGAATACTATCTTCATTGGTTTGAGGCCTTCTGGAGAAGCCCAAAGCAAAACCACGAAAGCTCAAAGGAGACTCATGAGAACCCTCTGGAGAAGCCCAAAGCAAAGTCACGAGAGCTTATGCTCAAAGTAGACGCTTTTTAGGGAAGCCCAAAGCAAAGCCACGAGAGCTTATGCTCAAAGTGGACAATATCATATAAGATAAACACGACTCACCACAATGGAGTGTTAATGTGAATGGGGTGCTTATTTCATTACAGGATGATGGCGGAGGAATACGGGTACAAAAGAAGTGGGAGAAAATGCAAAGAGAAGTTCGACAATTTATACAAATACTACAAGAAAACAAAGGAAGGTAAATCGGGGAGGCACGACGGGAAGCACTACAGATTCTTCCGGCAACTCGAAGCCATTTACGGCGACTGTAACCACCAATTATCATCCCCCGTTACCGGCGGAGAGAATCACGTAGAAGCGGGGGGAATGAGTCAAAGCTTTTCAATGTCATCTGATTTCGAAACGTCGTCGTCAGGGAACTACCACGACGACGATCTGTCGGCCATAGCGTTTATGATGAATCAGAGGAGGGTGGAGAAAGGGAGAGAAGACGACATGTCGAAAGGGGAGGGTGTAGGGTGGAGAGAGGAGGTAGAGAGAATGGTGGATTCGAAGGTGAGGAGATTAATGGAAGTGCAGGAGAATTGGATGGAGAAGATTATAGCGAGCGTTGAAGATGGTGAAAAGGAAAGAATTGTTAAAGAGGAAGAATGGAGGAAGAAAGAGGTGGCTAGGTTTGACCGTGAAATGCTTGAGTTTTGTGCGAGGGAGAGAGCTTGGGTTCGAACCCGAGAAGCTGCTTTCATGGAGATTATCAACAATTTTTCTGGTAAAGGATAATTATTAGAGAGATGCAATCCTAGTTAAATTATGCATCAAAAACTATATTTAGAATTTCTAAAACTTACCGTGAATTCATTGAATAATTTTTTTTTTTCCAATAGAAGCATTTTTGTGGTGTATTTTTAATGAAAAAAGACTTATTTATACACTAATGAGTTAGGATGTCTCGTAGCTTTTTGTGTCGTTCTCGACACAAATAAATTAAAAATTCGTATTCCCAAAAACGAAGAATAATGAAATGAGACATGTAGTACAAAGACGTATCTTCTGACAAGCATCACGATGTTTCAAATGTTTTAGAGGGGTATTATGTGATCTAAAATTAAGAAGATTCAATCTCCATCTCATGTGTTACAAGCTGATTTGATTGAAAAATAATTATTTGTAGATTTGTAAGTGAATATATTGCATGATTGAAGTGGAGGCTGAACGGTGGGAAGTTGTTATTGTCAAAATGTCTATAACTTCCGAACATTTGTAAGGTACCAGGGAGTAACTTACCCCACTAATTTTAGTGGGCATTTGAAAAGATAAAAATTTATTTTATGAATAGACCGTAAATACCCACAAATTAGTACAGTAAATTGAAACTTTTGATAAATGAAACTGAACTATCAAATAATTGAGATTTTTAGCGTACAGCATCATTTTTGTTATTTCTAAGTTCCAAGTCATTCTTGTGATAGATTGCACATAATTCAATCAAGTCTAGATCAAATTCGATTAAAGAGCGACCAAATTTAGAATAAAGTTTCAAATCTTATAGAAGGAGGTGTATTTTTTTTTATTATTCAATAATTTTTGCTCCAATAAAATCGTTGGGCTGAAGATCTAAGATTATCTTATCATTTCTTTGTAATTAAGCATAGTGGATAATATAAAAAATAACATAATTACATCAAAATAATTTAGTCTAAATTTAATTTAGAGATTTATAGCTTTTCAAGCTGGACTTTAAAAAATTGTTTAGCCCAGAAAAAAAAAATCCGAAAGAGCCCAGCAAGTGGGCTTATTTGGGCTTTGATTAAGAACAGAATTATGTATTATTTGTTACAAATTAATATATTTATCTAGTTTAATAAATTACACGTCTTTTTTTAATATTTATTTTAATGAAATATATAGCTTTATTCTACTGCCACGTATCATGCATGTGAGTAAATGGTCATTTCTTGCCTTCAAATTTTGCAAGCATTTTTAGGTGGGGTTGGCTTTGGATAAGTAATTTAGCATTAATGGTTTAGCGAATTTAGGTGCGACTATTTCAAGTATTTTGCCTATAAAATTCTTATTTCAGGTAGCATCTAATCTATATTATTAAATTTTTTTCGATATGTTTTATAATAATTCTATTATATTATTAATAAATTTATAAAACATACCGTAACAACTGTATTTTCGTTAGCATTATTGTTTTATTGATATTTTTATCGGCATTTAAAACTTTTCACCTAACAATATTAAAAAAATTATTAAAATTACAAAAATTAAATTTAAACCATCCAAATAAAGGAATCATATTTTTTTAAGTTAAATAAATATGAGAGTTGGAAGTTGAACTTCCAACCATAAGGTAAAATGTTAAATAACAGTTATTTTTTAAACGTCGAATCATTATAACATATTGTCGGTTTCAATATAATTTAATTGTGAATCTATTTTTAATATATGAATATAAATGATCTAAAAAAACTATTATATTAATATTAATTAAAAAATTTGAATAAATCGATATATTTCATAAACAAACGCAACATTAATATAATTTCTAAAAATATCATACTCTATCGACCCTACTTATCTAATAATAATAATAATAAAAAATTCCACTCCATTCCCATCTCCCAAAGTTCAGTTTATGAGACCGCAACAGAATGGAGTAGTTACAACACAAAGTTTCGAATGTTGTTTGGAGTTGACGGTAGGTAGGTATCAGATATATGACATTTGGAGTTGTCATTCATGCACGTGTCCCCAATTGAAGAATGAGTGATATGTTCCTATACAGATCATGGTCTTACCACTCGATCCCCGATGGATAGTAGGTGATTTGGTATAATAGTTTACTTTCAATTGTACTGCACGTTGGATACGTGTTAGCTGTAGGAAGTATGGTTCCGAAAGTGACTTCATTTCGCCAGTTCAGACTCAACTCCTCGCTTTATGTTGACAGACCTACAGGTCGGATTGGAGGTAAGTCTCTTTCCCGTTCGGGACACGGGTCCCCGCAAGATAAAATGGTATATTTAAATGCCAACTTTGACCTTTCTCCCCCACTCCCCAAAGCATTTATTAAACCCCTACCGGGAATTTCATGCTTTTGTCTCATTTTATACCAACGATTTTTCCCACTTATTTTTAAACCATAATTCCACTCCCTCTCTCACATCCCACATCGCAATGGCTTCCTTATTCTCTTCATCCACTCTGTCCCTCATTGCTTTTTGCCTCTCCGGTTTAATCTTCTTCCTCACCAGAAAGCCCAAACCAAACCGTCTCAAACTCCCCCCCGGTCCGCCCGGTTGGCCCCTCGTCGGCAACCTATTCCAAGTCGCCCGGTCCAGAAAACCCTTCTTCGAATACATCGAAGATCAACGCCGAATCTACGGCCCAATTTTTACCCTTAAAATGGGAACGAGAACAATGGTTGTACTGAGCGATTCGAACCTCGTTCACGAGGCTCTAATTAAAAAGGGGGCAGTTTTTGCTGACCGGCCCAGAGAAAATCCTACCCGGACAATATTCAGCAGCAACAAATTTTCCGTCAATGCGGCGGTTTACGGCCCTATATGGCGGTCCCTCCGCCGAAACATGGTGGAGAATATGCTCAGTCCCGGCAAGGTAAAGCAGTTTCGTGGAGTGAGGGAAAAGGCAATGGAAAAATTCATGAAACGGTTACGAGACGAAGCAGAGGCCAATAACGGTGTCGTTTTGGTGTCGAAAAACGCGCGTTTTGCGGTGTTTTGTATTCTGTTAACAATGTGTTTCGGAATCGAAATGGAAGAAGAAGCGGTGGTGAAAATGGACGAGATTCTCAAATCCGTATTGATCACTCTGGAGCCAAGAATCGACGATTATCTCCCGATTCTAACACCGTTTTTTTCGAAAGAAAAAAATCGAGCGAATTTCGTTCGAAAACAGCAAGTTAAATTCGTCGTTGGGTTAATTAATCGGCGGCGGCGAGCGCTGGAAAATCCGGCGTCCGATGGCGCTGCGACGTCGTTTTCATACCTCGACACGCTTTTCGATTTGAAATTCGATTCCAACGGAGGCAGAGCAGCGGCGACGGATGAGGAACTGGTGACACTCTGTTCGGAGTTTTTGAACGGCGGAACCGACACGACGGCGACGGCGATAGAGTGGGGGATGGCGGAATTGATAGAGAATCCGGGAGTTCAGAGGAAGGTTCTAGAAGAAATTAGAGCGACGGTTGGTGAAAAAAAAGTTGAAGAAAATGATTTAGAGAAAATGGTTTATTTACAATCGGTAGTGAAAGAAGTGCTGCGGAAACATCCTCCGACGTTCTTTACTCTGACGCACTCCGTGACGGCGCCGGCGAAACTGGGAGGATACGACATCCCAAAGGACACCAACGTCGAATTCTTCTTACCGGCCATCGGAAAGGATCCGAAGCTGTGGAAGAATCCGGAGAAGTTCGAACCGGAAAGATTTTCCTCCGGCGAGGAAGAAGCCGATATAACCGGCGTCACTGGCGTCAGAATGATGCCGTTCGGCGTCGGGCGGCGGATCTGCCCGGGGTTGGGAATGGGCACCGTCCACATTCACTTAATGCTTGCTAGAATGCTTCAGGAGTTTGAATGGACCGCCTATCCGGCGGCGAACTCCGTCGACTTTTCATGGAAGATGGAGTTCACCGTCGTCATGAAGAATCCTCTTCGGGCTACCATTAAACCAAGGGTTTAAACTCAAACCGGGCTTCCTCGTAAATCTCTCTATAAGAAAAAATTATCTTATTTTAAAAAAAATATTTATCTTATTTTAAAAAAAATATTTATCTTATTATACCTAACATAAAAAATATAAGAATTTAATTACCCACCTTAGTTCGTCTCCGAACCATCTCTTATTAGGAGAGGTAAATTTTAGGATGATTACTCCATGTAAAACACTTTTAACCTTGAAGTTTATACGATTAAGTGATCGAAAATAAGTGCACCTTATTAATATGGTCAATATCTTTCAATATGCAACTAAATTAATGCAACTTACCTTAAGCATTACATATTATTTTGAAAAGAATATGAAAAAAATTAATGATAAATTAATGGAAGGTTTTAATTAAATGAGCACACCAAAGCCAACAGAAAAGGAGACCAGATTAATGATCCTCAATAAATGTGTTAATTTTATGGATTTTTAATAAAGTATGGTCACGTGAACAATTCCCTAAAATGGGTGTTGAGTAGGTGTGCTATAATTAAATAGTATTTATATTGAGAATTATTTACTAAATGATCAAATTAATTTTAGGAAATGAAGGTGTCTCACTAAAATTTATTAATACATACATTTACCCTAATTAATTCATGAGCTTGTGTATAAAATTCTAAAATTTGTAGTTTCAATTATTAAAATTATTATTTTTATATCTCTACGCATTTGTTTTTAAATAAATAGATAAAAATAGAATATTTGTAAAAGCATAAAAGGAAAAGGAAAAGGAAAAGGAAAAAGAAAACAGAGTTCAAAACAGGGAATTAATATTTTAAAGCACACAAATGTACCAAAAGGGAGAAAAAAATGCTCTCGTTGAGAGTCGAACTCAAGACCTCCCGCTTACTAAACGGGTGCTCTAACCAACTGAGCTACGAGAGCCTGTTTGGCTTAAGAAAACTAATAAAATATATCATAAATATTGACTCTTTAAATGCTTCCTATTTTCTTCTTAAAAATTTGCTACTAATTTTGTTTATAATTAAAGTTTAAAATATCGAGATATCAATTTTTAAAAAAAAAACGAGATTGCCACATATATTCTTTCGTGCATTAAATAATTTAGAACTTTCCCTTCTCAAAAAATAGTACAAAATTTATTTTATTATTTATTTATTTTTTCATAAATTTAATTATGATTGATAAATACCCAAAATAGGCCCCGAGTATTCTTTTATTTACTTTAAAATCTTAACCATTAAAAATATTCAAACCTGAATAATATCTAAACTAAAAAATGCCCCTAAAAATAGGGAGAAAAAAAAGAAAGCACAAAACACATGCAACTATAAACCAAGCTTACAAAAGCGCCACGTTTTCCACGTTTTGGTTATTTTCAAGGGCGAGCTTAAGAGACCCGCAGCCATTCCACATCCAAAACCGCCATGGCTACCCAGAAACAAGCCATCAAAATCCTCATGCTCCCGTGGCTAGCCCACGGTCACATAACCCCATTCTTCGAGCTAGCCAAAAGGCTCGCAAAACACCGAACCATCTTCCAAATTTACGTATGTTCCTCCCTCGTAAACCTCCAAGCCATAGACCCAAACCTCGCCCGAACCCACTCCATTGAACTCGTCGAACTCCACCTCCCATCCCTCCCCGACCTACCCCCTCACATGCACACCACCAAAGGCATCCCCTTGCACCTCGAGCCCACTTTAATGAAGGCCTTCGACATGGCGGCCAAAGATTTCGAGCTACTCTTGGACCGGCTCGAGCCAGACCTTCTCGTTTCCGACTTGTTCCAGCCCTGGGCGGTTCAGGCGGCGGCGGCGAGGAATATTCCCGTGGTTAACTTTGTAGTCACTGGCGTGGCGATTCTCACGCGTTTGGTGCACGCGTTTTGTAACTCCGGTCGGGAATTTCCATTTCCGGAGATCGATTTTAGTGGGCATTGGAGCTCGAAGAGGGGACGGAAGGTTTCTGATGAAGTGGGCCGCGATTGGGCCTTGCGGGTTTTGAAGTGTTTGAGAATGTCTTCCGATGTGGTTTTAGTTAATACTTCCCCCGAATTTGAAGGGAAATATATCGACTTTCTTGCTTCCTCCTTGAACAAAAAGGTTCGTTCATTCTCTTACTCATTTTTTCTTTCCTTTAGAAATCGCTCTCATGATTTTGTGAGGTGAAGGCCTAATTGAGGTCCGACTCTTTTGTCGGAGTCTTCGAACAAATTCAATATTTGAGTCACTTTTAACTACACTTTGGAAAACTCTATTGACATGACTAAGCTAAAGACATGATTCTAATTTCATGGTTTTGAGAGCCGGAGGTCTCTAATAAGCCCTATGGAACCCTTGAACAACCTCTTCTTAATCAAGGTTCAACGGAAGTCTTCGAACAAAATAGATCATTTGTTCTACACAGTCACTTTTGACTACACCTTCTAAAAACTCTATTTGTTAGAAGTCACGACTCTCTACAATAGTATGATATTGTCCCCTCAGCATATGCTCTCTTGGCTTTGCTTTGAACTCCCCAAAAGACCTGAACTCCCCAAAAGACCTCATCACAATGGAGATTTTATTTCTTATAAACTCATGATCTTCCATTAAATTAATCCATGTAGTACTCACTCCCAATAATCCTTAACACTATTGACGTGATTAAATTAAAGATATGATTATGATAACATGTTAGGAATTTTAAATATAAGCTTGCTATTGAATTTATATTCTTTACTTATAAATCTATAATTATTTTCTAAATTAGTCAACATGGACTCTCTTCCAACGATCCTTAAGAGCTTCGGATTCATATCTCCTTTACAGATTCTTCCAATTGCTCCCGTGGTTCCACAAATCAAGCCGAACGGCAAGAAACCCGAAATTCTCAAATGGCTCGACAAGAAGAGCCCAAAATCGACGGTCTACGTTTCGTTTGGAAGTGAGTACTACCTGATGAACCAAGATAGGGAAGAGCTAGCCCACGGTCTAGAGCAAAGCCACGTGAATTTCATATGGGTCATAAGGTTTCCAAAGGGTGAGCGCCTCACAATCGAAGAGGCGTTACCGGAAGGCTTTATGAAGCGAGTAGGAGACAAAGGGCTGATCATGGAGGGATGGGCGCCGCAATTGGAAATATTGAACCATTCGAGCATTGGTGCGTTCGTGTGCCATTGCGGGTGGAACTCCGTGGTCGAGAGCATGGTGTTCGGGGTGCCCATCGTGGCACTACCGATGCAACTCGACCAGCCTTGCCACGCCAAGGTGGCTAACTTGGCTGGCGTGTGCGTGGAGGCCGAAAGGGACGATGAAGGGAATGTTAAGAGAGAAGGAGTGGCGAAGGCTATTAAAGAAGTGGTGTCTGAGGAGAGTGGTGAGGCTTTGAGAGGGAAAGCGAGGGAGATTGGTGAGGCTTTGAGGAAGAGGGAAGAAGGGATTGTTGATGAAGTGGTTCGTGAATTTTGTAGCCTCTCACAACCCAAGAATGATGACTAAGCTGACACAATATAACTATATATCTCGAATTTATTTATAGTCAATAATAGGTATCTAATAAATCTATGAATTTAAATAGATATATATATATTTTTTTTGAAATGTTCGGTTTTGTGTTAATAAAATTGGAGTGTCTATTAATTTTTTTAAAATAAAAAGCTAATTTATCTGAAATTTGAATTTAGATTTAAATCGAGTTAATAATCTTGTAAATTTAAATTAATATAATATAAATAAATGATTTATTGTACTGAAATATTAATATGATATGGATAAATTATTTATTATAAGTCAAATTTAAAATTCGTCGTGAAATATTAATATGATATGGATAAATGATTTATTGTAAGACAAATTTAAAATTCGACGTGAAATATTAATATGATATGGATGAATGATTTATTGTACGCCAAATTTAAAATTCGACGTGAAATATTAATATGATAGATAAATGATTTATTGTACGCTTAAAATTCATGCTATGAATAAATAATTTATTGTACGCTAAATTTAAAATTAAACGTGAAATATTAATATGATATGGATAAATAATTTATAAATTTATAATTTAATAAAATAAATAAGTTTAATTTGCTAATATATATAAATAGCCTAAAATAAATAAAAGATAAATCGAATAAATAGGTTTAATTTGTTCATATATATATATATATATAAATAGTCTAAAATAAATAAAAGATAAATGTCAAAAATAAATTTGTCACAGGCAAACATGAGTTGTTCACGTGACTTACGTTATTTTATATTATTATTATTTATTACGTTATTTTATTATTATTATTATTTATTTTAAATTTTAATAAATAATCCAAAAAGGGGAAGAAAATAGAAAACCTGCGAAAATTCCCTCGGCATTAAAGCGACCAAGAAAGCTGAAAAAAGTGGGCCTAAAAGGCTAAAATCCGGGTTGATCTGGCACTATCATATCTGGTCCAGCCCACCACCTCGACTCTCGAGCACTATTCAGACCACGAGACACGAGTGGAATGGAAGCTGCTTCTCTGGTTGGCTGAGACTGCACGTGTTGCAGCTCTTTTTAATATAATGTTTTTAATTTATCTCCCATTTTTTAATATAATGTTTTTCATTTCAATAATTTATTAAATTATAAATTTGATTTGAATTTGATATGTAAATAAATATTTTTTTTGGGTGCTTAAAAGGCTTATCCATGTCTTATTTTTTATTCTAAAAATTAAAACTCTTATATTTATTTTAGTTTTTATATTAAGCTCTTCCTAAATTGTTTAATTGTGATTAAACAAATCTAAGCTTTACTTATACTCCATGACTTAAATAGGTATAGAAAAGACGAAAATTTGGGTCAAAGATCAAATCCCACGTGCTCGACTTCAGTTATGTTAAATGCATGTCCTGATCTAATAGATTTGAGGGACTACGCAGACCGACCCTCAAATCCCTATTTAGATGCCTTCGATTAGACTCTCCATATAAACACATCCTTATTCTCGAGACCCACACAATAAATTTTCAAAAAATGACTAACATGAACCTATACGAGGATGACTCCAACCAAACTTCCGACTTTGGCTGAAAGGAGGTCGACTTGACGAATAAATTGAAGCCTTGGAAAAGAAGGTGAGTGGAATGGATCGGAGTTTGGCTTGTCTACTTGAAGTATTAGATAAGTAGAACTCGCTGATAAACTTACCGGAAGAGAAAAAATCATCTTCGATCTCAATTATATAAGGGTTCCCCAAAGAGAAACTGTAGTGCTAGAGACACGAGTTAGTGCGATGGAGTAGGATTTGGCTCATATGACCTAATTTACGATCAGTCATAGTGGTGGAGGTCATGCGCAAATTAGATCTCCATAACCTAAAACTGAGTAAAAATTAATTTTTGGTATGAACGAGTACATTGTGTAAAAAGAAGTGGGTGAGAGAAATTTCTATGATTCGAAACCTTGTGAGAAATTAACTCTCAATACTAAAGTATGCAAAAAAAGTAGATTCAACCGACTACAATTCGTTGTCTAAACAATACCCAAGTGCCTGAGTAGAGACTGAGGTCAAGACTTAACCATCAATTTACAGGTCGAAGACATAATTGTCAAGTTTGATCAAGAGAAAACATACTCGAAGTAGAGAAGAGACTGAAAATACATGTTGGAATGTCAATTTAAAAGCTCACAGTGGATAAAAGGTTCGACTCAGAGGCTTTGATTGAGCAAGCAGACCCACCTTATGCAACGAAACAAACACTCAATGAAGCATCTTGACTCGTACATGTTTTATAGACCATAGGCACATCTTTTCTTGAGGTCGACCATTGGCTCATACTTTGTTATGCGAGGCATGCTAAATGCATGCCCCAACCCAAGGGATTCGAGGGACAACCCAATTAAACTCTCAAACCCCGATTCAAGAGTCCTAGGTCAAAATTTTCATATAATTACATTCTTATGATTTATTTAGAAGTTATTTCATTCTCGCTCTCAAACTATAATTATGTTGCAGTCTTTCACTCTATGGCATAGACATCTGTGTTACAAACGCTACATTAAGTCTTCCCCCTTAATTACAAATATACCCTTGCCATCAATAAAAATAGCTAATATACTATAAATTTCAAGTTATAAGAAATAAACCAGATTTTCCCTTTGAAAAAAATTATAAATTATTTTATAATTCTTTAGTTAAACAACAACCAAAATAGAAATTGATTTTATTTATAATATTTGAAACCATGAAAGCATTACAAATTCAATATCGAAAATTAATCGTAGACGATAAAAAGATTAATAGTTAAAAAAAGCTCAGCCAATGTGAAATTACATAGATACCCATTCTCCTTCCTTCCCCTCCTCCTCTTCCTCCTCCTCTTCTTTTTTCGTCTGCGGCGCCATTTTCACAGTTCCTCGCTTCGCTTCGACACCGTCCCCGCTTCCCACGGGTTCGGCTTTGATTCAAGCAGGTTTGTTTCATGCTTTTCATTCCATCTGTTTTTGTTATTCCTTTTTAAATTTGGTTCGTAGATGCTTTTGCTGTACATCGCCTTTTCATCCATCGGCCATTGGAATTCCAAGAAATGAAAGATGATATAGGAATGAAGTGAAAATGAATGGTTGATTGGAGAAATTCCGATGTTAAACTTCGTTTTCGAAATGCTTACTTCCAATGTGGTCCAAGTGAGTTCAACCGAGTCTACTATGACTGAGTTGACTCCATTTCTATGCGGATCCAGTCCTTGAACTGTGCGAATCTGTTTTCTGCGCCTTCTCAGTGGTGTTCCCGCTTTCTTATCACCATTTTATTATTTCTATGTTTTATGGTCTGTATTGCACTAAATCTACATCGTCCTTTGTCATGGTGTTTGTAGGATTTAAGCTTTGAGAACTTCGACACTGTTCTTAGAATCGATGGAGCAGGTTGGCAATGATTTTTTGGATGTTGAAATGCTTGTTTTTCTGATTCGTTATCCCTTTTTCATTCCGCAAGATCGTTCCTCTTATTCGCGATGTGTTTGGCTTCGTAGTATGAGAAAGTTGAGAAGATTGGAGAAGGAACTTATGGTGTGGTTTACAAAGCACGCGATCGCGTCACAAATGAGACTATTGCTCTGAAGAAGATCCGCTTGGAGCAGGAAGATGAGGGAGTGCCAAGCACAGCCATTCGTGAAATTTCACTGTTGAAGGAAATGCAGCATGGCAACATTGTAAGGTACGTATCATTGTTAATTATCTACCCCCATTCAACTCATAACGGTTGTCTAATTTTTTCCCTACTCCAATCTTAAGGGCAAGTAACATGCTTCTTCAATCTACTCAATGTATGAGGTTTTTTTTTTCAATTTCGTTTTAGTTTTAAAGCAGCCTTTCTTTTTATTGGAAAACTGTTGTGTTGAAAGACAACGTTGCAATAAAATGCCATCTGCCACTGTTAGTTTTAGCTTCTATTGAGAGGGTAATGTAGAAACTGCATGTTCAATTTGCGGAGATGGGGTGAACTATATGTAACTTATTTATTATGGGAGGTTGAGATATAATATATCAAAGGCAACATTTCTTCCGTTATTGCTACCATGTAGTTAATCCTGAGATATATGTAATTAAAACAGTGCATCCGATTTATTACGTTTTCTTCAATAGTTTGTAATCAGACTAATAAATATGGGCATGATGTACCTTTTCTCTGGTCTATCACACTGGTGAAAGTGGCACTTGCACTCTGCCTTCTGGTTACTTTGTATAATCAATTCGACCTTTGAACTGAATTATTTCCATCTATGATGCCTTTATATATGTGTAACAAGGTTGTCTTCAATTGGTTTACTGTCAATAGGTTGCAAGATGTAGTGCACAGTGAGAAGCGCCTGTATCTTGTTTTTGAGTATCTGGATTTGGATTTGAAGAAGCATATGGACTCCTCTCCTGAATTTGCAAGGGATCCACGCCAAGTGAAAGTGAGTGGCTGCTTATTTTCATTTGTAATTACTTGCGCTCTATGTTAATTAATATTGCTTGTTATTTTTCATTTATATTTTAACATTAGAGGGTGGGTTGGTTAATTGACATAATAAGTAATTCAATGTAGAAAATCATATTTTAATTTTCCATGAGGTGCACATCTTGTCTAACATCCTAGTTTTGGGGATTTCTTAATCATTAAAGAAAGTTACTTGGAACAATTATGTGTATTTTCATGGTTTTCAAGCAACTTAAAACTATGCCAAGGTTGATCATGTTATTCCATTTTAATATCTGCAATACCCTCTCCTTTCTAACTGATATTATGAATAGGTTTGATGTTATATTTTTTTTCGTACCAATTCAGCATGATGCTTATTTCTTCAGCTTTATTTTGTTTCCGTCTTTCATTTCCTGAGATTTTCCTTTGATCTTGTTCTAACTCTTGGTTTAACAAATATAATGGTGCAGTAAGGTCTCTAATGAAGAATTTTGTTCCACTTATCTCATGCAGATGTTTCTTTACCAAATTCTTCGTGGCATTGCATATTGTCATTCACATAGAGTTCTTCATCGAGATCTAAAACCCCAAAATCTACTGATAGATCGTCGTACCAATGCCCTGAAGCTCGCTGACTTTGGACTGGCAAGAGCATTTGGTATTCCTGTTAGAACATTCACGCATGAGGTATGGATATACACTGGATGATTATCTTATCAATTTTTGTATTGTGAATTTGTTCTATTCCATGATTGCTCAATGGAATATTGAATTTGTATCCTTGGCTCCCTTTTCTGACTTCGCTCAAATGTAGACATTGTGATGCAATTTATTTCAGAAAAATGTACTGGAAACATAATTTGGAGCACTAATATGATGTGCAGTTGGTTGTACTTTCAGATAATCATAATTAATGAGGAGAATTTCATTAAATGGATGTAGGCTGGAGCCATATGGAAACTGGCTAGGTAAGTCTCTAGGGCTAATTTTCCATCTGATGACAACATTGACAGAAATGATTAGCTTTGGCTTCAGAGATCTATAGAAGAAAACCTTCAAATCACGAAGCAACTTTCTGCACCTATGTATTAACCAGAAGAATGAAAACGCCATACCATCATCTAAATTTTTTATAAAATTGTTAAGTAAGCTTTTGATCAAGAGTGATGGGACGTCATACTGTAAAATTTAAAGAAGCTAAAAAACCTAATTGGGTTCAGATATTTTTCCATATTTGAAAGAGAATTGCATGTGTGCTTGAGACCATGATCTCCGGGGTTCAGATTTTCGCCTGTGACTATGTCACATTGAGCATTTTGATTATTTTAGTTTGTTTTGCTTTTCATCATCTTGTTAGTGAGAAAATGCGGATTACCTGGTTAAAAGAATTTAATGGCAAAATAAAGCTGTTGATTCTCTTACCCTCCCAGAAAGAAGTTGAGAGGAAAACCTCAATAGGTTTCTTTGCTGTTGCTGAAAGTAGAATGTTCCCAAATAGGTTGTGGACTTTTCTCCTGACACCAAACTCTACTAAGATTTGGAAAATGTATGTTTCCCTTTTTTGAATGCATCTATAGTTCTGTTAGTTTAGGCCCCAAATTTTATTATTTTCTTTTTAAAAAGTATTCTAATAATTCAATTTGTCCATGACATTTTTCGTTGATGTATCATCCTATTATATTGTTGTGTTCTTAAGTTGATAATAATTGGAGGATCTATCTAGGTGGTGACCCTTTGGTACAGAGCACCAGAAATATTACTTGGTTCCCGACATTACTCCACCCCTGTGGATGTGTGGTCAGTGGGTTGTATATTTGCTGAGATGGTTAACCAGCGGCCATTATTCCCTGGAGACTCTGAGATTGATGAGCTGTTTAAGATATTTAGGTAAGTAGCTTTATTGTGCATCTGTCCTGTCCTCTACCCTTGCGAAGATTTAGTCCAGTTAACTTCCCAAATTTAAATTGATTATACATTAGCCTGCTATTTTGTTGGTCTCACAATAGGGAGTCCACCGAAATCTCTCCATGGTAATCACCTATGCAGGATTTAAATATTCTATGAGTTTTCTAGGGGTTGGTGGTTTTCCAATGAAATCTCTCTAGTCCACTGGAGGAGGAGGAGTTTCCCCCTATTTTCTTGGTGGCTGGATTTTCCTTTCTTTTCTTTTCTATTGATTTCCCTTTTCCTCGGAGGGAGATGGATTTAAGAATGTGAAAAATAAAGGCAACAAAACCCGGTTCTTCTGGCTACTGCGGCTTTATATGTATGTGCAATGATGGATAGTATATAAGTATATGTTTCTATAAATTCAAATTGTTGGAGTTCGACCCTAAAAGTGGACTGATTGGGTTCGGAGTTGTATTCAATAGTATGATTAGGGTAGCACATAAAGCCATGTTTCTCTTCCATCCTTCTATACTAACATATTCATGCTTTCAACAAACCTCTTTGTATGGGGATACAAAGAGTTCTGGGAACTCCAAATGAAGATACGTGGCCTGGTGTTACATCTTTGCCTGATTTTAAATCTGCTTTCCCCAAGTGGCCTCCAAAGGTGAGTGATTGAATTGAATTCCATACCAATTTCCCTGTCCGATTTGCTATATTCCTTGGTTACAAGCTTGACTTCACGCATTCTCTACTTGCACAGGACTTGGCTTCTGTAGTTCCTAATCTTGAAGCCGCTGGCATTGATCTTCTCTCTGTAAGTATATCATTTTTCATTGGAGTCTGAAAAAGTTGGTAATACCAAATTGTTTTTATGTTTCATTTCCTTGTTTAAATCTTCATTTGTGATGATGTCACGTGATATGGATCAACAAGTGTTAGGAATCAATGCTTTCTTTGCTTCACCCGGCCCTCCCACTTGATATGTTTGGCCAACTAATTCTCGTTTTTATTTCCCTTTCTTCTTATGAGCCTTTCATGTCTTTCACTTCACATTATTTCTATTAGAAATGAGCAATTCTTGGTTTCTACCTAGGAGATTATAGTCAATAAAAACTAATTGCATGTAATAGTTGTTAAGATATTTGCTATATCTCCGAGCTGAAATTGTTGACATCATGTTCCAGAAAATGCTGTGCTTGGATCCCACCAAAAGAGTCACCGCCAGGAGTGCCCTTGAGCATGAATACTTCAAAGATGTTGGGTTTGTTCCCTGATTCTTCTTCCAATCCTCCTAAGGAGAGTGTCTATATAGCTCCTCTATTGTGTAGCCTTTTATGGGTTTTAATTGCGTGATTTTAAAAAAAAAAGGGAAAAAAATATATAAATATATAATGAGTGTGCTGTCTGCTTATTAGTGATTTTATCATTTTTCTTTCCCTTCTGATTCTTGAAACTTAGATCAGGTTTTGTTAATGTGGCTTTCAACAGAACATTGGCTTTCCCAACCATACTTCTCTCTTTCATGTGTCGGCGCCAATATATATATATAAATACACGCGTATATGTGAGAATTCTTGATTCTGCTTGTAACCCTCCTAGCTATCCTTTACCCAAATTTTTACCCCCTGGATTGGATAAGCTGTGTTTGAAAACCATATTTATTTCTATCTTTGCCTCCACACTTGAGGATTATAAGGGCTTTGCAATCTGTTTCTTTGCTTGTATGGTTGAATTTCCAGCTTTTAGTGAGTTATGGCTTTGCAAAGTTTGATTCTTTAGACATAAAATTCTTTTGATTATTGGATTTGTGTTTATGCCAGAGAAGTTCAGAGTCATTCGATTGTGTTTTGAAAATATGCATACTTGACGGTGTTACGTAAGTTATTTCAAGCAGACTCTTATTTTTTCTATCGCTTTTAGATTGTGTTTATGCGAATTAGTGTCACTGAGAGTTAGAATGTTTGTTGCCCCATTATTTGACTTCATAATGTAAGGGATTTATTTGTAATTTTTATTATTTCCGTATTAAAGAAAATAACTAAGAAACAAAACTTCAGTTTTTGGAACCCACACCCCCCCCCCTAAAAAAAAAAGTGTTCCTCACGTGAAACTGAGGGGCTTAGGGTGCAGGGGGGAGTGATTGGATAAGCCTGCGGTCAAGCTTCTGTACAGCCTTTTTGTTGGCAATAAGTGGTACAGCTTCGGCCATGTGTGAGTATTTGGTACGCAAAACTAACCATCATAATTCTATCAAAATGTAAAATTGTTATGATTTGAACCAAATGCAGACTACAGTTTTGCAATTATGTTTGGTTGAACCATAACTAATGGTCAATTATGGTCAACCTAAAATTTTAATTACATCAAACTTGATCTTCGAATCATATTTCCCTTCTTTTGTTTTGTACTCTAAACGTTAATTTTACTTGCAATATTCTAATATTCTTATGAAAGGGAGATTATAAAACGGGATTATTTTAAATTGAATATTACTTGCAATATTCAAGGTTTTTACTTGATTTGTAAGTTACAGGATGATTTTGCATGTATAAGTGTTCTTTTAATTTTAATGATAATTGACATGTATTAATACTTTTTACCTTAAAATTGGAGTTCAAATCTCAATCCTATAGTTATTCTATTAAAAATATTCAAACAAACCACTTCAAAAAAAAAAAAAAAAAAAAGAATAGAACATTAAATTACATGTGAAAAGTTGGCAAATGGTTTTTCTTCTTTGTTTTTAATCTTTAGAGAAATATTTCGACTTTTGTAAGCCTACAAAACTTAAAACGAACAAGAATATTAGTGATGAAAAGAATGGTAAAGTAGGATAAGAGTTACTTGTGCCAAATGATTTTCGAGCCAGATTTTGGTCACATATCCGATCTTTACTCATGAATTTTATCAAACCAAAGGCCTTATAGGAGATGAGCTCTTTACTTAGTTGCTTTAGCAAGCTCAACGTATCCGATCATGGAGTGGTAGTGTTCCATCGCCATCATAGTTTCTCCATTTTGGTCACGAATAATAGTCTCAATACCTATCTCGTCCTTAAGCACATTACATCGAAATTCACCTGGTATGAGTAGCAAGGTCCATTGTCCGATGATAAGAATAGGAGTATTGGGACTATCTTAGTAGCAATCATATTTGAATTAATTCATCTATATTCTTATTAACATAAAATAAAATAGAATCTTTTTATGGTGAAATTTGGCCCACTGAAACAGTGTTCAAATTTTTTGGGTAAATAGCTGTATTTTCTTGAAATTGAAGGAAAAAATTATTGTAAAAATCAAGGGCGTTGGAAATGAAAAATCATGGAGTTGTGGACAAGGAGAGAGGAGAAAAAAGTTTCCGTAAGAATACAGGAAGATTTTTGCTTCTTCCGTCCACTTGACGGATTTTGAAAACATGTTTTATATTTGGTGGGCTTAAGATAGTGAATCACTGATCCTATTTTTCTTCTTCTTCTTCTTCTTTTTCTTTCACGAATGCTCCGGAAAATTGCTCGTGTTTGCGATCGTTTTCCTCTCTGAGCTGAGAAAGTTATTTCATCGTAAAACTCGGTGAGTTTCTACTTCTGTCTTCGATGATTTTGCTCAATTAACTCTCTGCGCAACTCACCGAATCTGGCTCCGAAGTTCCGTAACTTTCTTCTAACTAGTTTGCCGAATTTGAATTTACATTAGATTAATTCTATGATTTCTGTACAGAAATTTTTAGGCGATTATAATACAACTTTTGAGGTTGTTGTATTTGATTCTTGTATTCTTTCCGTGTTCATAGCATTTCTTGTCATGCTTTCGCTCGCTGTTCGAATCTAATCTCCATTGCCGAAGATGCTGTGGTTTGTTTAGTGTACAGATTATAGACTCAGTATTTCATCGACGGATTGTGAATCGTTTACTAGATATTAGCTAACCTTATCGAAGGAAGCAAGAATAAAAGTTCAGGTTTCCTGTTGGCATTTTTTCATATAACTAGGTTTTAGGATTCGGTGGAAGTGAAAAATCGTTCGATGTGTTGCGTTTAGACTTTCTAACCCTAAGTTTTCGTATTAGCTCAGCTATTTTCCTTATTCTTGGAGCAGGAAGTTAAAGAAATATATGCTATGTTACGATAAGCTTTCTAGGATGAGATTGATTCACTCGTTTGGAGTTCTATTTGTCCTGTAATCTAAACTTTGGTATGTTTCTATTGAATCATGAATCCGCTCAATCTCTCTTTGTGCAGATATATTTGTGTTCGTCGAGTGAAGCTGAAAAACTGATAGCCCAACATCGGCATTGGGCGAACTTTAATTTAGATCAGATTATTTGGGGTCTGTAATTTCGTTGCAGATGGGTGCATCTGAAGCAGCTCTGCAAATCTTTTCAGGAGTCATACCTCGTGCAGTATGTTCAAATCCGCATTCGAGCAATTTCGACTCCACATTTTCGTTTAAATCGCAAGTGAAATTTGTGAAGAAAAGGATCCTGAGAAATAGGCATTCGTCAAAATGTTCAAGTAGGCTATTACGAGGGATAGAGACAGGCTTTGGTGTGAAAACGAGATGTAATCGTCGTCTGTTATATAGTTGTAGATGCCAACAAGCAGAAAGTGCAGGTGGTACGACTCCAGAAGGTGGAAATGGATCGTGGTTCGTGGACAGTACAGAGACGCTGCATCCAATCAACAGCATACCAAATGGATCAAGTGCTTTGGAGTTTCAAGATGCTCAATTTGCAAAACAGGAAACCAAGAGTTCAATTTCTAGTGGCACAAATGGAGCAGTTGGAGATTCCTTTCATAAGATTAGTATTGAGTCCATCGAGGATGAGGCGTGGGACTTGCTTCGGGAGTCCATTGTTTATTACTGTGGCAGTCCGATTGGAACGATTGCTGCAAGGGACCCGACTAGCTCTAATTTACTGAATTATGATCAAGTCTTTATACGTGATTTCATACCTTCTGGTATAGCTTTTTTATTGAAGGGAGAGTACGATATCGTTCGAAATTTTATCCTCCACACGCTTCAGTTGCAGGTAGTCTAAAATGTACATATATTCATCAATCAGTTAGCTCATGAAGGTCATGTTAGTTTCTACTTCTCTGGTTAATGCTTGCAATCTGTTATTTCATAGAGTTGGGAGAAAACTATGGATTGTCACAGTCCTGGTCAAGGATTGATGCCTGCTAGTTTCAAGGTCCGAACCGTTCCTCTAGATGGTGATGACTCAGCAACAGAAGAGGTTTTGGATCCCGACTTTGGGGAGGCAGCAATTGGCCGTGTTGCACCTGTCGATTCAGGTACATCGACCGTCATGTATTTCCTTTAGAAGAAAAGTTTATCCATTGTATTTCTATATCCGAACGGTCACTCACCTGTCTCTCTATTAGGATTGTGGTGGATAATTTTATTGCGCGCATATGGAAAATGCTCGGGCGATTCCTCAGTTCAAGAGAGAATTGATGTCCAAACTGGGATCAAAATGATCTTGAAGCTGTGTCTTGCCGATGGCTTTGATATGTTCCCTACTCTATTGGTAACTGATGGTCCTTGTATGATAGATCGCCGTATGGGAATTCATGGCCACCCTCTTGAAATCCAAGTAAGAATCTACCAAGTTCTTCAGCTCTCTCACTTTTAATTGCTTAATGTATTCAATGGCTGCCATGGCATTCTAAAAGCTTTCAAATGAAATCGATGTTTTTACTTTATGCGCCTTAGATTTCGTTTCACTGATCATAAATCTGTAGCATGGTTTGTGTTCTATAAATTACATGGTAGAAGTGTAAAGATTTATTCTTTTTTCCTCCCATGTAGGCACTTTTTTATTCAGCATTACTTTGTGCACGAGAGATGCTTACTCCTGAGGACGGATCAGCCGATCTTATCCGTGCGCTGAACAATCGTTTGGTGGCTCTTTCGTTTCATATCAGAGAGTATTATTGGGTTGATTTGAGAAAACTAAATGAAATTTATCGTTACAAGACAGAAGAGTATTCATACGATGCAGTCAACAAATTCAACATCTACCCAGATCAAATTCCTTCGTGGTTGGTGGAATGGATGCCTGATAAAGGAGGTTATCTAATTGGAAATTTGCAACCAGCTCACATGGATTTCCGATTCTTTTCTCTGGGAAATTTGTGGTCCGTAGTAAGTAGTCTTACTACAACAAGCCAGTCTCACGCCATTTTGGATCTCATTGAATCCAAATGGGGGGATTTAGTTGCAGACATGCCATTCAAGATATGTTACCCTGCTCTTGAAGGTCAGGAATGGCAGATTATCACTGGCAGCGATCCCAAGAACACGTAAAATTTACTCGACTTGATACTTTTGATATTCGTTAACGAAAAAATTGCCCCTGTTTTCTTGTTATCGAAATTGATTTCTGTTAATGCAGACCGTGGTCGTACCACAATGCAGGTTCGTGGCCGACATTGTTGTGGCAGGTATGTTACTCTCGAATTTCTGATCTTACGATTATGCTTTATATGGAAGTGTTGCTCTTGGTGAGGTAATTAAAGAATACTTTAGACCCTTAAATACAAGCAAAATTCCATTAGAATTTGAGGTTTAGAAGCACATTATGAGTTTCTATATGGGTAGTTCGCTTTGTTCTCTATAACAATCATTTTGTTAAACAATCTATTCAAGCTTTGGCACAAATTTTTGTATTCCTCTATTTGAAACTCTCCTTGACAACAAAAGCATATATAATATGGATACATTTATGTCAAATACAATGTTGAAGTGTGTGATCTTACCCTTCTCAGCTCACAGTTGCATGCATAAAGATGAACAGACCAGAAATTGCAGCAAGAGCCATTGAGATTGCCGAACGTCGTCTGGCTAAAGACAAGTGGCCTGAATATTACGACACGAGGAAAGGACGGTTCATTGGAAAACAAGCACGCCTATATCAAACATGGTCAATTGCAGGATACCTCTTGAGCAAGCTCCTGCTTGCCGAGCCAAGTAAGGCCAAAATGTTAACAACTGAAGAGGACTCGGATCTTGTCAATGCCTTCTCTTGTATGATCAGTGCCAGCCCGAAAAGAAAGCGCGGTCAGAAAAGCTCAAATCCGACTTACATAGTTTAGGTTGTTGCCCAGAACAAAGCTTGGTGTTATATATTAAGCCGCTACTTTGAAGTGGGTGCATATGGAGTTGGGATCCAAGGGGCTGGCTGCTACTCCCCAAATTTATGCTCTAAACGTATTGAAATTGGATACTTCATATAGGCAGTTGTGGCGTATTTGTTAGCTACCATTTATTGAGTGGGTAAGTCGAGTTTATGCGGCCTTATTCACATATATATTATAGATACACATATTTAACTTTGGCCAACTGACGATGCTTTGTTATCCCTCCTCATGGGTGGAATCTGTAGAACCATAATGTAAATTTATATCAATGATTAAAATAAAGATTGTATGGTGTATCAATTGTTTGAACAGCTCAAGTAAGATGACTTGACCAAGGACCAATTTTTGAAGTTCGTGAAGAAATAAAGAACCAATCCCATCAGAGATTTTGACATTTTAAATGGTATCTACGACTAGTAAACCTAAAGATCAGGGTAGTTAGTTGATTTATTTTAGAGCTTAGGATTTATTAGCTAAAGATAAGGGTAGAAAATCTACCCTTTATTTTGGCATCCACCATTAGTCCTTGCTGTTTCTCCTTGTGAAGAACCAAAAGAACTCGAGAAGACACCCCACCCAAAGTGTATCAATCTTCTTTTGATTAATTGTGCAAATGATCTTTAGTTGTTGGAGGGAACTGCAACAGAAAATTCACAATGGCCTCCAATTTTTCGAATTCATGCCATAGCAGCAGCAATTCCTTGTTTTCGATATAATAAAAAAGGCGTTTGGTTTTAAAGCATCCAAAAAATTAAGACTAAATTTATAAACTGAAGAAATTCGACATTCGGCTCATCATAACACGGGGATAATGTTGGAAAAAGACTACCTTGTGAAAACAAAAATTCCAATCTAAAATCTTGAAGAATCTCTGAACAACATTCGACTTTGTAATTATACTTAATCGAAAAGACTGAAGCCCATATCCTGCAAAACAGTAAACAGGGAGTTAGAAGAAATTACATGAACTAAAAAGATGGTGAATTAAAGAAAAGATGTTTTGTTCTGTGTGAGGTTTTTCGGCCATACAGGCAAACATTTAATGTTTCATAAGGTGGGGAATCTCTAGGCATTTCCTCGAATATTTTTTTTTCAGATTATTGCTTTCATTGGTTAATAATAATGTGAGAATTTCGACTGTTAACATGCAATTCCAAGAAACATTTTCACAAAGATTTAAGAAACTTACATCGTCTGATTCCTCCTTCTCTTCAACCTTCTCTTCTTTCTTTGACTCGGCAGCAGCAGGGGCAGCCGCACCGCCACCACCTCCAGCAGCGGCAACTGCCACAGCAGCACCTCCACCAGAAGGAACAGATGCTAGCTTTTCTCTTCCGGATGCAATGAGCTCTGTAATATCCTTACCCTTAACACTAGACATCAGAAGCTCGATTTTGTCCTCATCAACTTCCGCTCCAACTGCAAATTGGTTCCGGAAAGAGAATTATGACACCATTCGAAATATTAATCTTTCAAGTAATTCAATATCCAAAGCAAATGCGATAAATGAAATTCATACATATAACATTGCATTAGAAGAAAAGATTTGTGGATTCAAAACATAAAAAAGCATCGAAAATGAGCATTCCAAATAACAACAATTAAAGGATATCAAATTAAACCTAAGAATCAGTCTGAAGTATAATTGCTCTATTCTCTTAGACAACCGAGAAAATGTAGGATAGACACAAATTACATATAATTAGAATCTAATCATATCCAGCCACAGATAACAGCCATTCTTCCTATTGTTTCTCAAGCATAAATTGATTATTAAAAGAAAGCACGTTAAAGCACGACAATAATGAAGACAATCAGTAATCAAATACGTATTAACTCCAAAAAAAAAAAAACGATAATCATTTAATAAAATTTGAAGCCGAACAGCACAAAAGAAGAGAGAACAAACAATAGCTACCACAAACCATAAAAAACGAAACTCCATAGCTTGACATAAGAATTGAAACGAAGCGAATCAAAGAACAATAACCTAGATAACAAAACAATCCTATAAATCTAACATCGAACCAAAAATTCCTTAAAAACCTTAATGATCAATCGAAAAAATAAACAAGCGGGGAAAGAGCGAGATGCGGACTTTACCAGATCCGAGAATATCCTTCAAATCCTTAGCAGAAGGGCTGGCATTGCCTCCCAAAACAGCGAGCAAATAAGCAGCTACGATTTTCATCCTTACCAGAAGCCAATCGGAATCAGGAGAAGGAAAATGAGAGAGTTCAGTTAGGGTTCCGTAAATGAAGTCGACGGCTTCAAATTATATTATATAGCGGCGAGAGGTAGGGTTTCTGATTCTTTCAGTTTCGAGAATTCGGAAGCACCTGGGCGAGAAGATTGCGGAACTATCAATGTTTTGGGCCGACAGGATTGAATCTGGGCCTAATTTAAGTAGCCCATCAAGCCCAACCCATTACTTCCACCCTCGTCTATATATTTTTGTTTTAATCTTCTAATTTTCTAAAAGATAGAAATTTATGGCAAAATTTTAAATATTTTTAAATATTTTTTTAAATGAGTTAAAATTTTTAGTATTTATATTAACATCAATGAAATTTTTCTTTTTCCTTTTTTTATATAAATATTTTTTTGTACTATGTAATACAAAAATATAAATTAATCTCTTATTTCGATGTCTAATTTATAGATATGAAAAACTAAGGTTGGAAAAATTGTTGTCAATGAAAAGTAATATTATACTTTTTTTTTTAATTTTGTAAATGTAAATTTTCAATTTTAAAATTTATTTGGAATCAATTCTAAATATTTTAAATGCTTTTATAATCACTTAAAATTCATTTCAATAGTCATCCTTCAATTTAAATTATATATAATTTTAATTAAATTTATGGAGCTCAAAAGTCCTCTTAGATACCAATATTTGAATTTGTCTGGAATTCCAATATATAAATAGCTTAATAGGTTGATGGATACACACTTATGACCTTCCTTCGAGTGAAACTTTAATCAATCAAATCAAATTATTTTCGACCGAGAGGCTATAAATATCAAGGAGAGAATCCGGTTTAATTAACAAAATCTTGATATCCCTAAATCTCGAACAAGAATGCAAAATGTCACAGTCATGTTAGTTCAAGGTGTGTTCCATATCAAATCCCTCGTATTATACTACTTTATCATTTTCTTTCACGGTTTTTGTGATGTACAATTTTCTTATTATATTTTTTTTAGGTGTATGACTTTCCGGTAAAATCATGTCAATGTTCGGTAGACTTGAAATGTCTTGTAATGTACTATAAAATGATACTTCATAATGTATTATAAAAGGATACGACTAGTCAGCAATTTTTTTTTTAGTTTATCTAAGTCTTTTATGAAAATCTCTCTACCTCATTTTCTAATCCTTCTTCTCGAAATGGGACCAAATGTTTGAGTATGTCGTCCAGTCGGAGACGACACGAATTTGAATTGATTGACCTACTTAGTGGTGAGGGTGAGTGTTGCACGATTGTTTGCGAAAATTTCGAGAAAGTGCGATTGTAACATGAAATACATGGTAGGCACCAGAGTTTGTGTAACGTGGTATATAAAAATATAACACAAATTGAAAGTCACCTCGTTCTCAAATAGATAAATACATCATTGAAGCACGAGCAAATCAGGCGAGCCTCCATGCTAGATTTGCGCATAAACAATCAACAAACCAAAGAATTCAACAAGAAGAAGCCATGGAAGGCATTCTTCATTAATTCGTCAATCATCTCAAAAGCAAAGGTCAAAATGAAACAATTGGGGCAAAACAAAAACGTAAGGGTAGAATATAGATAAGTTTTAAGGTAGAAGGTCATGCAAAAGACGCTCCAATAAAAATATTACAAGACTAAATTGCCAAGTTCACGTACTATTACAACATTATTAGCTTCAGGAAGCAAAGACCTTACGCAATGAACAGCAAATTTCCATGGAGTAAATTTTAAGCAGCAGCCACAGTCTGGGCAGATGCTGCTGGGGCGTCGTCTTCCCAGTAGGCAGTCTTCTTCCCAGTTTTCGAAACGGTTTGGAAAACTACATCGCGACTCACATTGCCTTTCACAGTCACCTTTTGAGCATCTATATCGATGTCAAATGTCTCGACACCTGAACATGGTAGCCAAGCACTTTGAGTAGGAACTAGTTATTTGTTCAGAGGGTTCATATTGAGTTGGTAATAACAAAGGTTTAAGAGATTATACTAAAGGATACTCGATTTCCGAATATTGATAGATTTAATACCCACCAAGCATCATTCAAGTATTCACCTTAAAAGTTGACGCATGGTTATCAAGCATATTATGTCCAGCATTTCCCAATATGCAAAAGTGGTTTACGCGTTCAAAAGTCTACATATTAGTGAAAGAGTAATGCTTAGCTGCTAGTTGTGGTTTTTAAGCTTCTTTTTTCCGCTATGGCTGGACTGGATTACAAGAAAAATGGTTACAGCCAATTTTGCAGCCAAGTATTACTCTTAATCCAAAACTTATTACCGTTCTACAGGGTACAAAATGTTGAAACATGCAATATCGAACTCCAAAACTCGACCCTCATGCTCCCATACACAGATTACACATCAAACAAGAGCACAGCACAACATGAGACAACTATAATTTAGCAAAGGAATAACAAACCTTCCAGTTTCCCCAAGACCCTTTTGACTGCTCCAACACAGCCCTGACATGACATAGCAACCTTGAGGACAGTAGTCTGCACAAAAACAAATTCCAAACTGTGTTTATTAAGAGGGATCAAAGAACTCAGCTAGAAGAGAAGAGTGGAATACGGACTGCCTGATACGAAGAAATAGTTAGCACTTAACAGGACAAGAGTACTTAATATCAACGGTCTTTTATCCAATTCCAAAACAGAAATTTACTCATCCAAGTCTATCTAATGGGACTTGTATCCATGAGTTATATCCATAAATTTTCTCCCTGTTTTTCAACAACTCCAGCTTCCAAAATTAACAGAGATTAATAATTAAAAAAAAAACGCACAAAATAGAGCAGAACGTTCTAATTTGGTTAATCGGGAAAACATTCATCAATGGCCAAACAAATTATCAATATATGATCAACGTAAAGCTTCCTTTGTGATTGATTGACCAATTGCTAACCAATAAATCAATATGCGATACTAACGAAATACTTCTATGGAGCTCTCTCAGAAGTAGATCTCATTGGCTCGGTTACAGTGATTTCCCTCACTCGTGTCAGATTCACATTAAATGAAAAACCAAATGCATAAATCCTCAGGGAAGTAGATGAAAAGAAAAAAGTCAAAATGCTCAA